CCTGGACCTTTTACCTGGGGATGTTGAAACATGTAGCATAGGGCTTCTTCGAAGTACTCCAGGGGTATGTTGTCCACGTTCTTGGGGAGATCTTCAAAGTTATAATAAGCTAGAGCCAACGTGACAAAGCCACGGCCAGCAAGGAGGCTGGCTCGATATTCCAACAGGCTCCCTCCGATAACCAAAGATGCCAATGATCCCTAGGAAGGGTCCAGGTCTTGGCGACAGGAAGGGCGTGGCGCGCACCCGGCCCGCGCGCACTGACTCGCGCCGCACCCCCAGCGAGAAGAAGCCGCGCTCGTGACGCGCGTGGCATAGCAGCCGTCCAGGCTCGGGGTCATGGCCGTCCAGCACCTCCAACTCCACGACAAAGGGAATTTGTACATCCCGCTTCAGAAAGCGCCAAAAAGACTTCTTGGATTCCAGGGCCCAGAGCAACCCCATGGGCTCGAGACCCCGAGGCTGCCGCCCAGCACGGGCGCGCGCTCCAGGCCCAGCTCGCCGCGGGCGTCGGCTCAGTAGCGCGCGTGGGCCCAGAAGAGCGTGCCCTTCTTGTCGCGCAGGGGCGCGCGCGCAGTGCGACCAGCGCCCCCGGGGCCAGGCCGTGCACGGCGATGCGCACCGCTTGTCCCAGCAGCCGCGGCCCGTGGGCTGCAGGATCAGCGTTGCTGACATCTTGGAGCCAGAGCGGGGAATCCTAAGGTCGATGCCCGAGGCCCGTCCAAGATCGTGGCAAGTGCGCCGATTGTCCAGAGGGCGTCCGGCGTCTCCTGGTGCCGGGAGCGGCCGGTGGCTGAGCAGTCCCAGAGAGCGCCTGGGACTTTAGACCAGTTAACCCGGCGCCCTGGACTCCTCTGAGGCAAAAGGAGCTAGACTCCTCTCCTGGGTCCTCTCCTCGGACCCCGGGGAGCGCAGAATTTTTTTTTTTTTTTTTTTTTTTTTTTTTTTTGAGACACGGTCTCGCTCTGTTGCCCAGGCCGGAGTGCAGTGGCCGATCATAGCTCACTGTAATCTCGATCTCACAGGCTCAAGCTATCCTCCTGCCTCGGCCTTCCGAGTATGTGGCATGAGCCATCATGAGTATAGGCATGAGCCTTCACGCCTGGCCTAAGCCATCACGCCTAGCCTGATTTTTTTTTTTTTAACTTGGAAAAAATATATACTTCACTCCCACAAAGTATATTTTAGACTCCTGCCCCATTATTCCTAGAGAATTATAATTTCCAAGTAAAGTAAAAACAAAAAAAGTGGTGAAGACAGAAGAGTATTTAACCATATCCCTGTAGAAAATTTTATTGAATATTCTAAGGAATGTACTTGTCCTTTTTGTGTCTCTTGGTAGAAAAAGAATAAACATTAAACTCAGCTTAGTATTTCCAAAGTAATAAGAAACACTCTTGCACATAAGGATACTTTGGGAAACCTCGTTTCCACCACTGTGTTTATTTACACTGAGTGAGTGACAAGGCTCTGTAAAGACGCAGGGGAATTGGTCACTAGCAGGCAAAGCAGACATCAAGTACTGTAAGAAATCAGAGACTGACTTCAAAGAAAACTCAGCGTTTACTGATAAATTGGGTTATAATATTACCCCACCAATGGCTAGCCTTCGTGCCATGAAAATACATCCATGTTAATGATGTCACTGTCTTACCTAACTGCAGGTGATGGCTGCCATGACATAGAAATGACATTGAACTTAAGGAAAATACGATACTGTGCAAAATCCTTGTTAAAACCAAACATCATAAATGCATTTGAAGCACAATGTCTAAGCCACGTAAAATCAAACACCTGATAGTTATTAGCTGGCCTTCTATAAAGAAAGCTTTTTTTCTTTTTGCTTATTTAATGGGGTACAATCAATTATAGACATAATTGATGGCATAGGGAAAATAATTATTTCAAGTAGTTTTTAAACACTAGCTGTATAACTAAGAGGGACATATAAAAACAGGGATTGGCAAACTTTTACTTTACAGGGCCTGATAGTAAATACAGTCAATCTTCATTCACAGATTCTGTATCCGTGAATTCATCTACTTCCTAAAACTTTTTTGTGTAAACTCAGAGTCAATATTTGCAGCACCTTTGTGGTTATTTGTGGACATCTGAAGAGCGGTGAACAGTTTTGAGTCCCTTAATAGGCATGTTCTCAGCCAAAGTCAAACAAAGTGACTCTCTGTCTTCTTATTTCAGCTCTCATACTGTAAACAAGTGCCCTTTTTACCGTCCATTTAGTACCTTGGCTTCTCGTATTTTTGTGATTGCTGGTGATTTTGCTGTTTCAAAGGGACCCCAAATGGAGTAGTGCTAAAGTGCTGTTGAATGTTGCTATGAATGAGTAAGCGGTCTTGTGTCTTATAGAAAAAATACATGTGTTAGATAAGTTTCATTCAGGCATGAGTTATGGAGCTGTTGGCCATGAGTTCAAGTGTTAATGAATCAATAATATATATTAAGGTGTTTAAATAGAAACACAATAAGGCTGGGCACGGTGGCTCATGCCTGTAATCTCAGCACTTTTGGGAGGCCCAGGCGGGTGGATCACCTGAGGTCAGGAGTTCGAGACCAGCCTAGTCAACATGGTGAAACTCCGTCTCTACAAAATACAAAAATCAGCTGGGCATGGTGACATGCATCTGTATTCCCAGCTACTCTGGGGGCTGAGGCAGGAGATTTCTGGAACCTGGGAGGTGGAGGTTGCAGTGAGCCAAGATCCCACCACTGCACTCCAGCCTGGGTGACACAGTAAGACCCTATCTCAAAAAAAAAAAAAAAAAAAAACAAGAAAGAAAAAAGAAAGAAAGACAAGAAACACAACAAAATAAGCTTATGCATTCATCAGTTGACTAAAATGTGACGAGATGCTTACAGGAAGCTAACCCTGTATTTCCCCTAGAAGCAGTGGAATGGTATGCACTAATTCCATGTTTGCAGCAAGTTTATAGACCATAACTACTGTGAATAGTGAGAACTGACTGTATTTTAGGATGCGTGGGCCACCCAGTCTGTGTAACTACTCGAGTCTGTCCTTGTAGTTCAAATATAGCCATAGACAGTACACAACCAAGTACGGCTATGTTCCAATAAAACTTTTATTTATGGACACTGAAATTTGACATGTATGATTTTCATACTTCACAAAATATTCTCCTTTTCATTTTTTTATTATTTAAAAATATAGAAATGGAAAATATAGGAACGGGCCGGGCGCGGTGGCTCACACCTGTAATCCCAGCACTTTGGGAGGCAGAGGTGGGCGGCTCACTTGAGACCAGGAGTTTGAGACCAGCCTGGCCAACATGGTGAAACCCCATCTCTACTAAAAATACAAAAATTAGCCAGGCATGGTGGCGGGTACCTGTAATCCCAGCTACTCAGGAGGCCGAGGTAGGAGAATTGCTGGAACCTGGGAGATGGAGGCTGCAGTGAGTCAAGATCGTGCCACTGCACTCTAGCCTGGGCAACAGAGTCTTGCTCTGTCTCAAAAAAAAAAAAAATACACACACACACACACACACACACCCCCATATATATCATTCCTATTTCCTTAGCTATACAACAACTGGCAGCAGGACAGATTTGGCCTGCAGGATATAGCTGCTCTAAAAGAACTGCAATCTGATATTTCAATTACTAGCTTTGTTGTTAGCAATAATATTGGTGTTGCAATTTTAAACTTTTTATAGCGATTTAGTCTAAAACTAATAAATATGTTAATATTGCTAGGAACCAAAATTTGTTAAAGAAAATAAACAGGAATATAAAAGGCAAGAATAAAACCTTGTGATGTTAAATTTGGATTGGTAATGTGAGTATGAACTCATGCTTTGGGTCTCAAGTTTCTGGCCCTGCTTTAATAAAGGGAAAACAATGCCTGATCTAGAACCCAAGATATCTGACTCCATAATCCTGGGCTGTCTGATTTAGCCATACTGCTGCTTTTATTTTTTCTTAGTCTAGGCCTTCTCAAATCTTCCCTCACTTCTCCCTCAAAATCCCTAATAAAGAAGGAATCTGGGGCAGAAGCAAATAAACTATGCCAGGAATCTCCTATAAAATCTTAATGTAAAAGTTACGCTCATTTGCATTCTCCCCCATAATAAGCCTGTGATTAAATGCAAAATAAATACGTAATTTTTAAAAATGCGCTTTTCACCAAATCCTGCAGTCAAGCTGATGCTCTTGAGGATGCAACATTCCCCTCTCTGTTTCGTAGTTGAGGAGAGCGAGGCTCTGGGTCACAATCAATTATCCAGTCACTTCGTCACAGCCCCGCAGGCACACACCCACCACACAATCAGGGGCGTCGTTTCTCAGACACACACTGACTCACACGATCTCCAGGAAAGATCCGAAGAGGAAAACAAACATCAAAAAAACCTCGCCACATTAAAGTTTATCGTGGGTTATATACGCGCTCACAGAAACGCAAGCGCACGCACTCAGTCAACCGGGTGGTCTCACAGTCGCCCACGGTACTCTCAGTCCTACGGAGCTCGACTCAATTCCAGTCACACAATCTCTGTCACAAACCTCATCCCGGTCATCCCCGAGTCTGCCGAGTCACACCGTCTCAAATCCCAACCAGCCACACCCAGTGAAAGAATCCCACTCAGGACCGCGCCAGGGACAGGACCGCGCCAAGGACAGACCCGCAGCGCCATCCTCGCTCACAGAGCTCCCTAGTCGGCCCTATGGAGAGGCGGTCGCGGGCGCCTTTCTTTAACGCGCCAGCCATCTGTCCCCGCTCCCTTCCAGGCCCTGCCGCCCTGTCCGCAAGCGCTAAGGGACTCGAAGCGCAGCCTCGTTGGGACAGGCCTAGCTCCGGCTCGCGGTTCACACAGAGCGTGGGGCTGCACCAGTGAGCGGACCCTTGAGACTGGCCGCGCCTGCGCACTCCGTGAGTGCGCCCGGCCCTCCCAGCAGCCCCCGCGCGCAGCCCGTTAGGCCCCGGGGATTGTGGCCGGATCCGGCCGCGGCTCCCTCTGTTTCGGCATCGCTGTGCCTCGGGTTCGCGTCCCGAGTGAGCAGTCCTGGCCCAAAGCGTCGGTCCTGGCAATCCGTAGGAAAAGCACTGCGGCACGGGGTAAGGAGAGGGGAGCGGGACCACTGCAGTATCGCAGAGCGGCGGGACCCCGCGCCTCAGGCCCGGGTGTGTGTGTCGTGGGCGTGACGGGGCCGGGGCTGGGATGTGACGGCGTCTGTGCGGCTGACTTGGGTGCAGAGCCTATTGTATGAGCGAAGGTTGTTGTGGCCGTGGAGTGCGTGACTGACCCCAGCATCCTCTGCCCACACCGGGCCCAGCTGCAGAGAAATGGCCCTTGGTTAGTTTCTGCGCGCCAGAAAAAAGACTCCCAGCAGAAAGGCTCAGACTAGGCCGGGCCAGGTGGCTCACATCTGTAATCCCAGCGCTCTGGGAGAGCGAGGCGGGAGGATCGCAGGAAGCCAGGAGTTCGAGACCAGTCTGGGCAGCAAAGCGAAACTCCCATCTGTACCAGAAATTTTAAAAATGAGCCGGGTGTGGTGGCGCTCTCCTGTGGTCCCAGCTACTGGAGAGGCTGAGGCGGGAGGATGGCTTGAGCCTAGGAGTAGGTTGAGGCTGCAGTGAGCTATGATAGCACCAACTGCACTCCAGCCTGGGCAACAGCGGAACAAGGCTCAGACCCGACCTTGGGATAGGAATGTTAGAACTGAACGAGCCCCCGCTCCCACCCATGCTTGCTCCTGGAGGGACTCCCACGCCACCTCCCCGCGGACCCGGACCCATGCACGTACACTCACAGCTCTGAAGAGTCCAGCTGCAGGTTTCAGAACCACAGCATTGCTTCCAGGAAGCTACTGTGAACTCCAGTTCCAGCCCCGGGCATCCATGACCCTGATCTTTCTTTGATACTGGGAAGAGTTAACAACACCCTCTCTCTTATGTTACTCTGGTTATGTGTGGGTGGGCGGTAGTGGCATTGTGCCTAATTTAACCATGCGAGGCTGGGCTGCAAGAAAAGCCAGGTTCCCTTCTTAGCCAGTCCTGCCCAACTCTTTAAGAAAAGGGGTCTGAGGGGGAGGAGGAATGAGTTGCTGTTGCCTGTTTAAGTCAAGGTCGAGGCGAGTGGGTGTTTCTGCTTTGTTCTGTGAAATGCATTCTTATTTCTTAGGACATGAGAATATTTGTTTCATTCTCCATAAATGTCCTGCCCATTGAGTTGATACCTAGGTCCGCTCCCGAGAGCCTGTATGCACATACCCGTTTGGTAGATATTTTTCATTACTTCTGTGGGCCTTCTTTTAATTACTATGTGTAAAGCTCTTAGCACAGAGATTAATAAAACATTTTGCAAGGATTATACATAATATAAAACTAGTTTCTTAGTGGAGAAAAAGAGATAAACAGTTGTTTACCACACTGTTCTGTCTGCTTTGGTATACTTTTACTGAATTTTGGAATGTTACTTGATTGTGTTCATTCATAGAAGAATCTTGATAGTGAAAATAGCCCGTCGTTTTGATGAAGAACAGTTAAAGAACTGATGGGTGTTACTTATTTGTGCCATGCTGTTGTTTATTTTCCCAAAACCCACTCATGTCCCAGGCTTATAGAATCACAATTTTCTTAACAACTAAAAGATATTCCCTCTTCACAATTCTGTTTTTAATTTTATTTGTATGAAAATAGTTTAATTGGGTGGGTGCAGTGGCTCATGCCTGTAATCTCAGCACTTTGGGAGGCTGAGGTGGGCAGATCACCTGAGGTCAGGAGTTTGAGACTAGCCTGGTCAATATGGTGAAACCCCGTCTCTACTAAAAATATAAAAATTAACCGAGCATGGTGGCGCATGCCTGTAATCCCAGCTACTAGGGGGGCTGAGGCAGAAGAATTGCTTGAACCCGTGATGCAGAGGTTGTGGTGAGCTGAGATCCTGCTATTACACTCCAGCCTGGGTGACAGAGTGAGATTCTGGCTTCAAAAAAAAAAAAAAAAAAGTAAGTCCTGGTTTAAGCTGCCAACTATTTTTAGTACTATTCAGAACAGATTTTCTCCATCCCCTACCACCCAGTCATCTTCACTCTATAATAATAAAATTTAAGTTGCCCGTAGTCTCACCGTGCAGAATAAATATTACTATTCTAATGTTTGTTTTTCCATTTTTTTCTGTGCACTTGTGTACATGTGTTTGTTTTCCAAAACAGAATCACAACGATTGATCATTTAAGGAGACAAAGACTCTCCAACACTTTGTTTGAAAAACGAAAAAGAGGTTGGGCGTGGTGGCTCACACCTGTAATCCCAGCACTTTGGAAGGCCAAGGCGGGTGGATCACCTGAGGTCGGGAGTTCGAGACCAGCCTGACTAACATGTTGAAACCCTGTCTCTACTAAAAATACAAAATTATGCCGGGTGTGGTGACTCACGCCTGTAATTCCAGCACTTTGGAAGGCTGAGGTGGGCGGATCACGAGGTCAGGAGGTCAACACCATCCTAACACAGTGAAACCCCACTTCTACTAAAAAAATACAAAAAATTAGCCGGGCGTGGTGGCGGGCACCTGTAGTCCCAGCTACTGGGGAGGCTGAGGCAGGAGAATGGTGTGAACCCAGGAGGCAGAGTTGCAGTGAGCCCAGATGGTACCACTACACTCCAGCCTGGGCGACAGACTCCATCTCAAAAAAAAAAAAAAAAAAAATTAGCCAGGCGTGGTGGTGTATGCCTGTAATCTCAGCTACTTGGGAAGCTGAGGCAGGAGAACCACTTGAACCCAGGAGGTGGAGGTTGCAGTGAGCTGAGATCATGCCATTGCACTCTAGCCTGGGCAACAGGAGCAAAACTGTCTCAAAAAAAAAAAAAAAGTATTTAATATGATACCTTATCAAAGCAAAATTTTTGAGCTGGTTTTGTGATATGGAATGATGTCCCTTTGGAGCTACTAGGGATGGAAAGCAACAGGGCCCTTGCTCTACTTTTTGATTTCTGTGAATCCTTTTTTGATAACATTATTAAGAAGAATTACATAGGCCAGACGCAGTGGCTCATCCCTGTAATCCCAGCACTTTGGGAGGCCGAGGCGGGCAGATCACGAGGTCAGGAGATCGAGACCATCCTGGCCAACATGGTGAAACCTCGTCTGTACTAAAATACAAAAAATTAGCCGGGCGTAGTGATGGGTGCCTGTAGTCCCAGTTACTGGGGAGGCTGAGGCAGGGGAATCGCTTGCACCCAGGAGGCAGAGGTTGCGGTGAGCCAAGATTGTGCCACTGCATTCCAGCCTGGCGACAGAGCAAGATTCCATCTCAAAAAAAAAAAAAAAAGAATTACATTTTCAAGCCTAGTTCTAACATTTATCAATGTTTTAAGAGCAGTGCTGAAAAATCTCAAGAAGTTTTTAGAGAAAGGGACTACTATTAAAATTATTAAAGATAATTTATCAGCAAATACCAAATTTTAAAATTGAAAATAATTGAAGATAATTTTTAAAATAATGGAATGAGGGGTATGTAATGTTTTTCACTGAATTTAGTGCTTACAGTAAGCCATTTTAAGTGCTTTATGTATTATGTTCTTAACCTTCACAACAACCCTATAAGGTAGGTACTGTTGATTCCTTAATTTATCTCTGAGGAAACGGAGACACTGAAAATTAATGTGTCCAAATTCTCACAGTTAATAATTCCCAGAGCTCTGTTCATATCCTGAATCTTGACAACAAAGCCTGTATTTTTAATAAATGAGAATCTGCCACCTCCCAACATTGTACATGTTCTTTTAGTCTGACTCCCATAACTAGTAATTTATCATGAATATCTTCCTTCTTTAATTAATATGGGCCAATGCCATCAATAATAATTGCATAATATGCTATAATATAGTGGAACATCATTTATTCAACTTGTTGCCTACTGTTACATATTTGATTTCAGGTTGTCGTAAATTATTCTTTTTTTTTGAGACGGAATCTCTCTCTGTTGCCCAGGCTGAAGTGCAATGGTACAATCTCAGCTCACTGCAACCTCTGCCTCCCAGGTTCAAGTGATTCTCCTGCCTCAGCCTCCCAAGTAGCTGGGATTACAGGTGTCCGCCACCATGCCAAGCTAATTTTTGTATTATTAGTAGAGATGGAATTTCATCATGTTGGCCAGCCTGGTCTCAAACTGCTGACCTCAAGTGACCTGCCTGCCTCGGCCTCCCAAAGTGTTGGTTACAGGTGTGAGCCACTGCGCCCAGCCAGTAAACTATTCTTTGATGAACTCTCTTGCAATACATCTTTGTATACTTTTACAAATATTTCCTAATGATAAATTCCTAAAAGTGGAATTTCTGGGTTGAATTATGAGACATTTATAAAGTACTCACAATATGCCAGATCCTGTGCCAGTCCTCAGGGGAAATACAGTGACCAAAATGACATGGTTGGTATCCTTAGGTTGTTTGTTATCTTTCAAGGTAGATAAGCCTTTGCAAGAATAAGACTGAGATAGATGAGGTAAAGGTCATTGAAGAAGTCAGATGGCATGGCTTGAGAGGTCATGGGAAGGAGACAGCTGATTATAGCAAGCATTGTCAGGTCATGGCCAAATAATACCAAACTCATGGGGTTCCTATGGGGTAATGGATTTTATGTAATAAGCATATGCCTTATAGTTTTTATTCTCATGATGTTGATGCAAATGAACAGGACAAGAAGATTCAGCAACTCCTAGGAGGGCCTCATGGCTAAAACAACTCTTTGAGAAGCAAAACAAAAGCTTGGTCAAGAAGTCATGAGAAGTAGCAGCAGTGAAACAAGGCATTAATTGAAGATGTGTAGCCATGTTTATGTAAGCAGAACTCCAACATACATGAACACACTTAGAAATAATGGAGTCAGTTCAAATTTTGGAAGCTGAAATCAACAAAACCAGTAAAAACATAGCAGCGTTTTTTAAGATAGTTTTTTCTCCAAGTTCAAGGGATGACTACTTTAAAAAGTATCTAACCTATTTAAAGAACCTTTTCCGGCCGGGCGTGGTGGCTCAAGCCTGTAATCCCAGCACTTTGGGAGGCGGAGACGGGCGGATCACGAGGTCAGGAGATCGAGACCATCTTGACTAACACGGTGAAACCCCGTCTCTACTAAAAAACACAAAAAGCTAGCCGGGCGAGGTGGCGGGCGCCTGTAGTCCCAGCTACTCGGGAGGCTGAGGCAGGAGAATGGCGTGAACCCGGGAGAGAGCTTGCAGTGAGCCGAGATCACGCCACTGCGCTCAAGCCTGGGCGACAGAGCGAGACTCCGTCTCAAAAAAAAAAAAAAAAAGAGCTACATCATCATTTTTTTAAATGACAGCAGTTTGTTTTACTCTATGGATGCTTTATGATTTATTTAACCTGTTTTCTATTGAAGGACATTTAGGTTCTTTCCAGCTTTTTTCTATTATGAACAATATCCATGTACTCTTACACATACCTTTGATCATATGTACAGTTATTTTTTTAATCCCCAAAGTAGAATTTCTGAATCAAAGAGTGTGTATGGTTTAAATGCTGCTCGTACATACTTTAAAATCTATATAGTCTGCAGTATACTGGTTAGAATGTTCATTTGCTCTCATGCTTACTAATATGGGCATCAGTACCAGATACCTGTTGGCGAGTTGATGTGTTATTTTTATTTCATTTTATTTTATTTTATTTTTAGTGAATCATGCATGCCAATTTTCTCTCACTGGAATAGAAATTCTGGGTTTCAGAGAAAAGAGCTAGAGTTGAAGGAAAGCTGACTCTGTGGTTAGATAAATGATTCCAAATGCAGCTTTGCTACTCATAAACTGCATTTCTACAAGTGATTTTATTTCCTTTTTTTTTTTTTCTCAAGACGGAGTCTCACTCTGTCTCCCAGGCTGGAGTGCAATGGCGCAATCTCGGCTCACTGCAACCTCCGCCCCCACCAAGTCCAAGCAATTTTCCTGCCTCACCTGGGATTACAGGTGTCTGCCACCACACCCAGCTAATTTTTGTATTTTTAGTAGAGACAGAGTTTTACCACGTTGGTCAGGCTGGTCTCGAACTCCTGACCTCAGGTGATTCACCTGCCTCGGCCTCCCAAAGTGCTGGGATTATAGACGTGAGCCACCACACCCAGCCCAAGTGGTTTTATTTCTCTTCATGTGAATTTCTGATCCATTGCATGGATAGAATAATTATTGTGCTAAAGAGCCATCCTGAGTATAGAGTTAATATATATAAAACAGGCCAGGTGTGGTGGCTCACATCTGTAATCCCAGCACTTTGGGAGGCCAAGGGGGGCAGATCACGAGTTCGAGACCAGCCTGGTGAATATAGTGAAACCCCGTCTCTACTAAAAATACAAAAATTAGCTGGGTGTGGTGGCGTGCGCCTGTAGTCCTAGCTACTCGGGGGGCTGAGGCAGAAGAATCGCTTGAACCCAGGAATTGGAGGTTGCAGTGAGCCAAGATTGTGCCACTGCATTCCAGCCTGGGCAATAAGAGAGAGACTCCGTCTCAAAAAAAAAAAAAAAAAAAAGATATATATATATTTATTTATATATGTATGTATATATACACACATGCACACACACATATAACACCCAATATACGGGAATTCTTGATAAATAGACATTTGTTATTGTCAAATGACCAAGAGCATGAGTCCATGCCTGTTCAGCCTAGGTTGTAAGAAAGAGAATGACAAATGAATTCATTCCAGAAGACAATGTGGATGATTCTGATTCTGACTGGAAAGAGAGAGTGATGAGCCAGGAGGACTTTGAAAGTTGTTCTGGCTGCAAGCAGGGCTGCCAGTGCAGCAATTTTGTGGTGGTAATGGCTGCCAGGCTTGGTCTTTATGAATTTCTCTCTTTGTGTCTGGTGAATCTAAACAGATCTATGAAACTTTGAAGGAGGAAGATTGTGGTTTAGATGATATGGCCCCTTATCAGCCCTGGAATTAGCAACGGATTAGACTCGTCCAGGCTCCCTCAAATTTCTCTCTGCCTATGTGTGTGTGCACGCGTGTGCGTTGGGGGGGCTGTGGTGGAGAGATCAGAAGAGAGGGGAAAGGTCATAGTAACTCAAGTCATTTGGGGATTTCTGAGGTCCATCTGATCTCATGGCTTTGTTTTCCTCCCCCTAGATCAGCCTCTGTGAACTCAGTGCTTCTCCTGGCAAGTAAACCCCAAGGAGGACTGACCAGTTCTTGAATTTCTATACCATGGCCCTTGTAAGTTTTTTTCTCCTTCTGGGAATACTATCATGTTAAGGTCCTGTCACCACTTTTTTATCCTGAAACTTCCTAACTGGAAGAACCTTCTTCCAGTTCTTCCATATCCAGTGGCGGGTGAACCACAATGCTTGTCCTATTAACACTCTTTATTCTAGTCATTGTTCTTGTATTTGTTGAACAAATCATTCAGCGTCTCCTATATGTGCTCAGTCTTCTGCTAAAAGCTGCGATGGAGGAAAAATGAAATCTCTTAAATATTTGACCAGTCTTTGTGAGTTGATAAGAGAGGATGGGCCCATTTAGCCACTTACAGGAAAACTGAACTTTTCCAGACTTGAGTTTTCCAAGTGTGTAAGATAAGGGTCGTGGCTGGGCATGGTGGCTTGCACCTGTAATCCCACCCATTCAGGAGGCTGACATGGAAGGATTGCTTGAGCCCAGGAGTTCGAGGCTACAGTGAAGCTATGGATGTGCCTCTGTACTCCAGCCTGGGTGACAGAGGGAGACCCTGTCTCTTAAAAAAAAAAAAGAAAAAGGGCCGGGCGCGGTGGCTCAAGCCTGTAATCCCAGCACTTTGGGAGGCCGAGACGGGCGGATCACGAGGTCAGAAGATCGAGACCATCCTGGCTAACGCAGTGAAACCCCGTCTCTACTAAAAAATACAAAAAACTAGCCGGGCGAGGTGGCAGGCGCCTGTAGTCCCAGCTACTCGGGAGGCTGAGGCAGGAGAATGGCGTAAACCCGGGAGGTGGAGCTTGCAGCGAGCTGAGATCCGGCCACTGCACTCCAGCCTGGGCGACAGAGTGAGACTCCGTCTCAAAAAATAAAAAAAAGAAAAAGTTAAAAAACAAAAAGGTAAGAGTTGCTGTTAGCTGACCTCAGCCTCAGTGTATCACAAGATCTCATGCTCTGTGAGGCTTTTAGGACTGATTAGGGGTGTGGCTAGGTCTTACACCCAGAGAGATCTGAGATCTTCTCTTGGAATTCCTGAGTTACACAGGAACAAGATTCTATTTTTGGTTGAACAGGATGTGCTGGTCTAGAATGACATCTTTGTGATTCTGGATTATGCTGTATCAGTATCCTTTAACTCAGGAATCAGGAAGGCATACAGTGAGGGATGGAAAGTGATAGCATGTGAGAAGGTAATCCAGGTACATAAGTAGTCACGTTGACTCCCAGAATTGAGGAGGATCTTAAGGTTTTGTCCAACCAAAACATCTAAGTATAGAAGAATGATTAAATCTCACATATGCATTGTATAGACTATTATACAACCAATTTTTTTTTTTTTTTGATACGGGGTTTTGCTTTTGTTGGCCGGGCTGGAGTGCAATGGTGCCATCTTGGCTCACCAAAACCTCTGCCTCCTGGGTTCAAGCGATTCTGCTGCCTTAGCCTCCCGAGTAGCTAGAATTAGAGGTGTGCGCCACCAGGCCCAACTAATTTTGTATTTTTAGTAGAGACAGGGTTTCTCCTGTTGGTCAGGCTGATCTCGAACTCCTGACCTCAGGTGATCTTCCCACCTCGGCCTCTCAAAGTGCTAGGATTACAGGCGTGAGCCACGGTGCCCAGCCTATATAACCAATTTTTAACAGTCATGATTAGAAAAATGCTTATGATATGATCTGCTTCTAGGACAAACTTAGAAGACATTCTCTAATTGCATTTAGATCCTTTTCTAAAATAAAGATATTATACGGAGGGAGGCTTTAAAAAACAATCTGTTATTTAAGGAGAAAGGGGTGGAAGAACTCACCTTCCTTGGGAATTTATGAGGGAGACATAGTAGGCAAAGGCTTATATACAGTATTTCATTTAATTGGAAAACTGATTTTTTTTTCTTTCCCAGGCATGTCTAGATTAAGATTTGCCGGAGTATAAGAGGCTGTGTCTGTAGCAACAGGATCCTTCAGGAATCCAGGCGCTTTGCTTCAGGCACACTCATTTCCTGACTCGCTGTGTTGCAGGCTTCCAGCCCGAGCCTGTTTTCTTACCATATGGTCCACTTCCTGCAATATCTCTTCCCTCTTTTCTCCTTCTATCTTAAAATACATTTTCTTCCATTTCATTTATAATGTGTGGTTTGTCATTTCAGCGATCGGTGATGTTCAGTGATGTGTCCATAGACTTCTCTCCGGAAGAGTGGGAATACCTGGACTTGGAACAGAAGGACTTGTACAGAGATGTGATGTTGGAGAACTACAGCAACTTGGTCTCTCTGGGTAAGGTCAACTGCTTCTAGGAATTTAGACTCTGTTCTCTGTAACATCAACTTTTTCCTCTGAAAATTTCAAGAGTATCTTTTAGGAAACTATCTAAATTTTTGCTCCACTTTCTAAAGGGAACACTTTGAGCTTTATTTCACTGAAAGTGAGCACCTTCGTTAAGCACATCCACCCTCCCCATCCTTAAGTAGCCCTTGGGCCTTCCTTAATAACGAAGGGGCTGGGTTTGAGATCTTTGTGATTTGTAGCCTTACCAGTGTCAAAGAAAACAAGTTTCACTTTGTGTTTGGATTCAGAATTACTTTAGATGTTTTGTTGCTTGTTGGTGTATTTGTAAGGGAAATAGCTAGATCCTGTTTATTGAGTTTACTCTATCAAAAGAATACATATGATTTATGTAGTGGTAAAATGGATCAACAGCATTTATTTACAATTCAAGAGAACTCATACCTTTCATTAATAAACAAACATACTCAATTTTACCAGCTTTACCTACTTTTATGATTGAAAATTAAAAACGTAAGAATTTTGTTCATGTGTTTTATTGCACAGCAAGATGAGTATAGTTAATAATAATGTGTATTGTATATTTCAAAATGGCTACAAGAGAGTGTTTTTAATGTCCTCACTACAAAGAAAAGAAATAATAAATATTTGAGGTGATGGATATGCTAATTACCCTGATTTGCTAATTCCACAGTAACATGTATCAAAACATGGCATTGTAGCCTATAAATATATACAATTATTAGTCAAAAGACAAAATAATTATTAGTGAGTATATGGAAAAACTGGAACCCTCATACATTACAGTGGGAATGTAAGATGTTAAAGATACGACCCTGTAATTCTTCTCCTAAATGTTTACTCAAGAGAAATAAAAACATGTGTCTATACAAAGATGTATAAGTATTCACAGCAGCATTATTCACAATGTCTAAATAAATGGATAAATAAAATATGGCACAGTCATACAATAGACTATTCATTGAAGGACCAAACTCCTGATACATGTTATAGCATGCAAGAATATCAAAAACACGATGCTAAGTGAAAGAAGCCAGATGCAAAAGATTACATATTATATGATTCTGTTTATATAAAATGCCCAGAAAAAGCAAATCTGTAGAGACAAAAAGAAGATCAATGGATGTCTGGGGCTGGGAGTAGGAATGAGGATTGACTGCCAGTGACCAGCAGGGATGTCTGGGGGATGATGGAAATATTCTAAGTGTTGATTGTGGTGATGTTTGCACAACTCTGTAAATTTACTAAAAATCATTGAATTGTACACTTAAAACAAGTAGATTTTATGTTACATAAATTATATTGCAGTAAAGCTGTTAAAATCCAAGAACTTTACATTTAATTTAACATTGTTTGAATATCCAAGAAATAATAATACATCTCCTAGGAAGCTTATTTTTCCTCTCAGCAAAAGAAGAATAACCAATAGCTAATGAAATATAAATAGTGTTTGGTATATACTCTAGGCAATGTTTAGATACAGACATATATAAATATAGTATTAACAATAATCATATAAGATAGGTACTATGATTATCCCTATTTTATAGGGAAGGAAAAGGTAGCATAGAAGTAACTTGCCCAAGGCCACACAACTGGGACGTGGCTCGGGCAGGATTTGCACCCAGCAGTCTGTGATCTCAACCACTATTGCCTCTGAAGAAGAAACACTTATATGAACATAGATTTTGAAAAGATTTTTTCATTCCTTGTTTAATCTCTATTTATTGTGTAACCTTAATGTACATGTTTTTAAAACATCTTTCACTTCTTTGTTTTGCCTTATCAATTACTGTTTTGACATATAATTTAACCAAGTCTGAATCAAAGTAATTTTGATATATTTTTTATTTTCATGTACCTTATATTCCTTTTCTTCTAAACAGGATGCTTCATTTCTAAACCAGATGTGATTTCCTTATTGGAACAAGGAAAAGAGCCTTGGAAAGTTGTGAGGAAAGGAAGAAGACAATATCCAGGTGAGGGCCAGTTGGGCAGGAAGAAGCCATCACCACAGGGAGCCCCAGATGGTTGGGGAAGAGGCACATCCTTATGTTGTTTAGAAAGCCCTCTTGAAAGGTCTGTGGCCCAAGGAGGAAAGGTCTGCAACCTGGGGAGCAAATTAAGGTCTTAGCTGGGGGGTACTAAAATAACCACTTATTTGTCCCATTTACCACTCTTCTTTTTTATTATTGTTCTCTCTAGTTTTCCTCCTCTTTGATGGAACTGAGGGGTGGGGTGGTGCTCTCTTTGGCTCACTGTTGACAACCATTGTATATTTTGATTCAGTTGCTTTCCTCTTTTGCATTTTTTTTTTCCTGAGATGGAATTTTGCTCTTGTTGCCAGGCTGGAGTGCAATGGCACGATCTTGGCTCACTGCAGCCTCCACCTTCTGGGTTCAGCGATTCTCCTGCCTCAGCCTCCCGAGTAGCTGGGTTTATAGGCATGTGCCATTGCGCCTGGCTAATTTTTGTATTTTTAGTAGAGACGGGGTTTTGCCATGTTAGTAGAGACAGGGTTTTGCCATGTTGGCGAGGCTGGTCTTGAACTCCTGACCTCAGGTGATCCGCCCACCTCAGCCTCCCAAAGTGCTGAGATTACAGATGTGAGCCACCGTGCCCGGCCCCTCTTTTGCATTTATAGTGTCAGCTGAAGAATGACAAAGTTCATACATTTGGAAAGGAGTGCTTTATTTTTCATAAAGGGTTGCAGCTTGCAAGGTGGTTATTCTGACAGACTGGGAAGTGTAGCCTAGGTTTCTGCCCAGAGACAGGCACTTCAAGGGAGGTAGAGGGTAAGACAGAAACATATGCTGAATGTTAGCCAAGTATACATGTTCAACAGGCTACAGGAAGAGCTATGAATACTCAGGAAGGAGACTGTACACATGCATATTAGGTTAACATAAGTCCTATGATCACTTTAGGGTAGAGATTTAACATTTAAATGCATTATAAGTAGGACCTATACATTAAAAGGGTAAATGTAGGACACAAGTCCATGATCTGTGTATCCTTGGGAGACCAGTCAAAACCAGTCCAAGGCTGTAAGTTGTTTATCAAGAACAAGCTGTGGACTGGAATAGCTGTTATGTTGGAACCATAAAAACAGGAGTGTGGAGTGGTGGGGGAGTGTTCTGATGAAGTAAGCGAAAGGGTCTTTCAGCCTTTGATTTTCTCAAGCTGACTTTTGAGAAAATCTAATGATCAGAAAGGTGAAAGGGATTGGAAGCAAATGGGTCATGACCAGCCTTCTGTTCCGCCATGTGCCATGACTGGGAACTTAAAGTTTGGGGGTCTTTAGCCAAAAGAGGGTCCTTCAGTCTGTCGGGGTTTAGGACTTTTACTTTGGTCTTTAATAAATAGATAGGTGGCCTCGGAGTACAGTGGTAAACAACCAGTCAAGTTTCTATTCCCACCGAATTTACCTTGTAATAAGAAAAACGTAATACCTATAAATAAATAGGAAATACAATGTCAGGTAATGAGAGTGCTATAACGAAAAGTATGCAGAGTAAGGGGATGGAGATGTGCTATGGGAAGATTATTTTAGTTATCAGAGAAGCCTTTTTTCCCCCATCTTTTCTCATAAATTATTAAAGGAAAATAAAAGACTACAAAAACGGTATGCTTGATATTATAATCATATGTGTGTTATCAGCAACTAAAGTTTCATATGAATTATTCTAGAAGATAGCTCCTAGATCACAGAATATCATTCTTACTTGCTTTTTCCATCTATGTATCTATCTATCTTCACATTAAGAAGAAATATGGATATAGTAGACTCTAGAGAGAATGATCTCATTATCTTTCATTTACCTTGTCTAGGTGCTGTTTTCATCTCTCTTTGCAGCTCTTGTTTCACATGTTTTTGTTTGTTTTTTTTTTTGAGACGGAGTCTCGCTCTGTTGCCCAGGCTGTAGTGCAGTGGTGCAATCTCGGCTCACTGCAAGTTCCACCTCCCAGTTTCTCGCCATTCCTCCTGCCTCAGCCTCCCGAGAAGCTGGGACTACAGGCGCCCGCCACCATGCCCAGCTAAGTTTTTGTATTTTTTTTTAGTAGAGTCAGGATTTCACCACATTAGCCAGGTTGGTCTCGATCTCCTGACCTTGTGTTCTGCCCGGCTTGGCCTCCCAAAGTGCTGGGATTCCAGGCGTGAGCCACCGCACCCGGCTATGCCTGGCTAATTTTTATAGTAGTGGTGGGGTTTAACCATGTTGGTCAGGCTGGTTTCGAACTCCTCACCTCATGATCCGCCCATCTTGGCCTCCCAAAGTGCTGGAATTACAGGTAAGAGCCACCGCACCCAGCCACAAAAGGCTTTAAAAATGTTTTTATACAGAGACATATGTTGTAATTTTGTATTTTCTTCTCTGTATATTCAGGTCTGGATGAGGACACTTATTTTAGGGTACTAGTTCTTATTTTATAACCGTAGGGCCATTTCAGTGCCTACACTGTTTGTAATGTTCTATCTTCTGACTTTACCTTCTACCAAAAGAAAGAAAAACATGCTTTTTCCCTCTAATCTCTAATCTTATTTTTAAATTTAAATTTTATTTTATTTTATTTTATTTATTTTTTTTGAGACGGAGTCTCGCTCTTTTGCCCAGGCTGGAGTGCAGTGGCGTGATCTTAGCTCATTGCAAGCTCCGCCTCCCGGGTTCACACCATTCTCCTGCCTCAGCCTCCGGAGTAGCTGGGACTACAGGCGCCCGCCACCTCGCCCGGCTAGTTTTTTGTATTTTTTAGTAGAGACGGGGTTTCACCGTGTTAGCCAGGATGGTCTCGATCTCCTGACCTCGTGATCCGCCCGTCTCGGCCTCCCAAAGTGCTGGGATTACAGGCGTGAACCACCGTGCCCAGCCCCCTAATCTATTTTAAAATTCACATTCAGGTAATTAAGTGACATCTACAATTATTAATACTCAAAATGTAATGCAGAGGTTCCAAGTGAATAAGATAATATCCATTTAGTCAGGAAGCATTTTGCCAAAATAATAACTGTTGGCTCAGAGTTAGACACCTTAAACAAGACCATGTATTTTTTTTTCTTTCTTTTCTATTCTTCCTTTAAGAAAGTTTGATTAAACTATAAATAACATGCCTTCAGAAAAGTGGACAAATGACTTTCTTAAGGTGATATTTGAAAAGAGACATGAAGTAAGGGCTCAAGACATGTCATTTTCTGGGAAAAGGGCATTATGAGCTGATAGAAAAGGTCTGAGTGGGGCGTTAGCCTTGCTTGTCTGAGGAATAACAAAGACGGTCATTATGGTCAGAGCAGGGAAAGGGAAAGTAACAAGATGAGATCAGAGTTAGGCAAGGACCTGGTAATGTAATCACTAAGAGAAATTGAAAGCCACAGGCTGCTTGTATTCTAAAATGATTTCTCCAGTTGAGTGCAAAAGCAGGAAGCACTGATATGGAGGCAGTTTCAGTTGTTGAGTTAGACAGGGTGGTAGTTTGGATAAGAATGGCATTGTTAGGAAGTAGTAGGAAGCTGTTAGGCTCATGATGTGTTTGAAGGCACTGTCAAAAGAACATGCTGATAGGATTATAAGTGAACTAAGTGGGAAGGAGTGATATAAAAGGAGAAGAAATGGGTGTTGGCTTAAACAACTGGGTTAATAGAAGCAGAATTTACTGAAGTGGGAAGATAGGAAGAGCAAGTTGGAAAGTTGACACTAAGAATTTCTGTTTAAGATATTTTAAATTTGATATGATTAATATCTGTCCAGTTTGAGATGTTGCGTAGGCAGTTGAATATGTACACCCGGAACTCGGAGAGATTACAGCCTGGTTTATGTTTGGCTGTCTTGATGGTTGGAATTTACATTCATGGGTCTGGATGTGACCAACTAGGGAAGGCAGGCAGGTGAAATAAAGCAGATAAGGAGAAGCGGCCTGAGAACTGACTCATGGGTCACTCTACCATGTAGACCTTTGAAAGAGGGAAAGAGGGGCCGGGCGCGGTGGCTCAAGCCTGTAATCCCAGCACTTTGGGAGGCCGAGACGGGCGGATCACGAGGTCAGGAGATCGAGACCATCCTGGCTAACACAGTGAAACCCCGTCTCTACTAAAAATACAAAAACAGTAGCCGGGCGTGGTGGCGGCGCCTGTAGTCCCAGCTACTTGGTAGGCTGAGGCAGGAGAATGGCGTAAACCCGGGAGGCGGAGCTTGCAGTGAGCTGAGATCGCGCCACTGCACTCCAGCCTGGGCGACAGAGCGAGACTCTGCCTCAAAAAAAAAAAGGAGCAGCCATTGAGATAAAATAAAAATAAAGCAAATGTTTCACCATGGAGGGAGTAGAGAATGAGGACTGAGAACTGACCCCAGGTTCTAGCAAGATGGAGAATCCTGGTGAGCTTGTCAAGAAAGATTTCAGTGGAGTCAGGATGAAAGCCCAAGTGGAGTGACTTGATGAGAGAAGGGTTGGTGAGGCAGTAATGAGAATGAATATACGACAACTCTTTGGAGGAATTATGTATGAAGGGAAGCTGGGAAATAGGGTTGGCAGTTACACTGGGGATATGGGTTAAAAAGCAGTGTATTTTATGACATGAGGGCATGTTTGTGTGCTCATGGGAATGATTCTATGGGTAGAGGAAGTCAATACAGTAGAGAAAGGGCATAATTGTTGGAGCAATGTCTTCAAGACTGGAGTGGGAAAGGATCCAGTGAGTAAGGGGGAATAAAAGGGAAAACAGTGTAGTTACGTGTGCAGGTAGGTTGGTCAGGATGGTGGAGAGAAGACAGCTTATTCTTCTGTTGCTGTTTTCTCAGTGAAATAAGAAAGATCAATAGAATGTGAGAGCACCAGTGGAATATTATTAGCATTCAGTATGGGCTTATTCAGGATGTGATTAAAATTGATTCTCCGAAGTACAGTTCCTTAGATGTCAGGTTTTATTATTTTCAGATCTTTGTGCATTGTCCCTGTGTTGAAATGCAAATAGGACTTCCTTGGAACC